AGGAGAGGAGAGGAGAGGAGAGGAGAGGAAAGGAAAGGAGAGGAAAGGAGAGGAAAGGAGAGGAGAGGAGAGGAGAGGAGAGGAAAGGAGAGGAGAGGAGAGGAGAGGAGAGGAAAGGAAAGGAGAGGAAAGGAGAGGAGAGGAGAGGAGAGGAGAGGAGAGGAGAGGAGAGGAAAGGAAAGGAGAGGAGAGGAGAGGAGAGGAGAGTAGAGGAGAGGAGAGGAGAGGAGAGTAGAGGAGAGGAAAGGAAAGGAAAGGAAAGGAAAGGAAAGGTGGTTAAGGGACAACCATCAGTGCAATGAGGTGCAACTTGGCTGAACTTGGCAGTAGCTCAGGTGGTAGAGCGGGTTGCCTCATGATCGGAGGGTCACGGGTTCCATACCAGCGCCCGCCAGGGGTATCCTGCTGTTGTGTCCTTGGGCAAGATACTTCACCCAACTTGCCTGTGTTAGTGGTGGTCAGAGGGGCCAACAGCGCCAAATGGCAGCCTCGCCTCTGTCAGACCTCCCCAGGGTGGCTGTGGCTACAAGTAGCTTACCATCACTAGCAGTGTGTGAATGTGAGAGTGTGTGAAAGCGTCTTTGGGTGTCTAGAAAAGCGCTATATAAGTTCAATGCATTATTATTATTATTGTGAACTTGTTTATAGAACATGAAGAGATAATTTCCTTTTCAAAAAAATTCTCATTAGGTTACACTTGGCCAGTGTATTTTCTCAGCTTTGTTTTCTGCAGTCAGTAAAATACGTTTGTCTTATATTATCCCAACAATTTGAGAGCGGAACAGTTTGTAGTGCAAACCATAAACAAATTCACACTTTGCTGACAAAGAGTTAAAGTTTCTACCAGTAAACTAATTCATTATGAACTAAACTCTCTGAGGAAGTCCTCAGGAATTCCCAGCTCATCTCCTCGTTTTTCATTTAATTTATTCACTCTAATCACAAACTCAGTGGCTAAAAACCGGGCGACACATAGTTCAGGCTGATTAATCCGTTTTTTTCCAAAACAAAAACGAGTTTGGGCTCAACAGCAGATATGATTCAAACCTTGTGTGTGAAGTTAAAATCAGTCATTTGTTCTTAATATGTTTCCTAGGACAAAATACCAGAAAAAACACGGATCAAATTTATATTTTCTATTTCATTTTGGTCTGCCACACAGAAATTCATTCATCCAGTGAATCAGAAGGTTTTGAAAAACCATCTCAGGGTAGTCTTTCACCCACGTCGCTCTGTTTGCATTTGTTATTTCAGCGCGACTAATCTTGCCTTCAAGGCCACAAGAAGCTGTAAACGATTGGAAACCGTAAGCTTGAACATCGTGAAACCTCACATGATGTGAGTGCTCTAAAATGAAATATTTCAATAGTATTTATTTCACTGACAATAAGCAAACAACAAGAGATTATTGTAGTTTGTAAATGATCACCCAAGATGCTAGCAACATCGTATGTGAATCTGGAGGCCACTGGAGGTCATCGTCTGTTCTGAGATGATCTGAGCTTTCTGACATGGTGCATTACCATGCTTCTGACCCTAACCCAAACCCCCCAAGGCGCTTTACAAAACAATCAGTCATTCACCCATTCACACACACACACACATTCACTCCCTGGTGAGGATGAGCTACAATGTAGCCACAGCTGCCCTGGGGCGCAATGACAGAGGTGGAGCCTGCCGAGCACTGGCGATGCCGGCCATTCTGACCACTACCAGCAGGCAAGGTGGGTTGAGTAACTTGCCCAAGGACACAATGACAGCGACAGACTGAGTGGGGCTTGAACCTGCAACCTTCTGATTATGGGGCGGACACTTAACTCCTTAGCCATCGTCCTCCCTGGTGGGATGGACATGGTCAGCAACAGCAGTAGCTCAGGAGGTAGAGCGGGTTGTCCAGTAATTGGAGGGATGTGGGATCAATTTTGGCTGCTGTTGTGTCCTTGGGCAAGACACGTAACCCAAATTTATACTTCTCCGTCTGAGTCGGCACGGAGACAAGCAACGCCATTATGCGTTGGTGCAAGGGCTCTCTGACTGGCTGACGAAGATATGCCCACGTTTTTAACTATCCATTGAAAGTGATGGAAGCTTGTGATTGGTTAGGATGCCACTTCCTGTAAATGTCATGACTCATTTTTCAGCCTTCATTCAGCTCACCTGGTCCCCTCACCAAGCTCCTGACAAGCCCTGTTTCCCTGGCAACCACCATCAACTCCATTCATCTCACCTGTTCCTGTAATCAGCTTCATCCACCTCACCTGCTGCTGACTCCTCAGCTCATCTCACACACCTGCTTCCCCTGCTGTAAAAGATCCATTCAGCTACCCAGTCTCTGCCAGATTATTGAAAACATTTGCCGGTAAATTCTCCAGCCATCCACCCTGCCTGATCTCTGCCTCCGGACCTCGTTCTTTGCCTGACCCCTGCCTTGTATACTGCCTGCCATTTCGACCTGCGCCTGTCTCCGACTCTGTCTCCAGCCTCGCCCAACTTTGGTAACTCTGCATCAAAAGAAAGACGTTTTTTGACATACTTTCACTGTGTTTGGCGTCTTCACGGGTCTTCTGAGTTCTGTTCATGACAGTAAATTTCTCATCAGCACCGCCTTTGGCCCGTTAAAAAAAAAAAAATAAAATTAACGACAGACACAGAACAGATCGACGAATGCCTCTCGGAAAAAATCTGGAAGTATGAACATTTATTCACCCGTGACTGAAAGAGTACAAAGATACTGAGCATTTTATTTGTGGATGAATGTGACAAGTAACGTGGGTTTAGAGGAGCCAATCACATTAAGAGGTAGAGGAGAATCAGGGTCAATTTCATTCATGTGAGAAAAAAAGTCTCTGAAATACATTAAAACAATGTAAACACAATAGTAAACACATTAGTAAATGCACTATCATGTACCGAATACGTGACTGCAGTACTGGCAGGATGTCAAACAAAAGCACTACGCCCTCTGTTGTCCTGGCAGAGAATTGCTTTGCAACGATCCCCAGGTGACAGAGAAGTCTGAAAAGGAAATGTCTCCGTCAGTTCGAGTGCGCAACGCCACACTCGAACTGACGGGGAAGTATAGATTAGGCTTTAACCCTGCTGGTGGTGGTCGGAGGGACTGGAGGCGCCAGTGCCCGGCAGCCTCGCCTCTGCCAGTGCACCCCAGGGCAGCTGTGGCTACATCATAGCTCATCATCATCAGTGTGTGAATGCGTGTGTGAAGGGATGAATGATGTACTGTAGTGTAAAGTGCTTTGTCTCTCAAAGGCGCTATACAAGTGTGGGTCATTTCTCTTTAACAATGCTCAGGTAGGTTGTGGTATTGAAACCAGGCTCAAGTGGTTCTATGGGGTCCAACATGGGACAAGAACTTTCCCCCACTCTTACACCACCAGTAGCAGTCTGAACTGTTGTTGCAAGGCAGGATGGATCCATCTCTTCATGTTGGTGGCTCCAAATTGTGACCGGACCATTTGGGTGTTGCAGCTGAGACTTATCAGACCAGCAAACACATTTCCAATTGGCTTAGAAATCTAGGCAAACCCAAGGGCGCCCCCAAGGGGTGGCCAGGGGAGGCCATGGACACCCCTAGAAAATTGCTGGCCCCCCTTGAGAAAAGCCAGTGTTAACAAATCATATTAATGTTCAGTCAAACCACATATTGATCTTGTTTATTCAAGACATAATTATAAAACAAAATAAAAATATAATTAATGAGTAAAGAAATAATCAGAATAACAACATTCATGTTTCTGCTGCTCGACATTTAAAAAAGTTTTCATCTCCATAGTTTCTTTTACCACAGCAACAGGTGAATTAACCTAAAAAATATATTTTTATATTAAATTATGGATGACCCTTTAAGTAACTGAAATGTATAATTCTGAAATGTTTGAGTTTGTAAAATGTAAGTTAAATGTTTTGGATATGTAGTGTTATTTTAATAAAAATGAATAAAGGAGCAATGCAGCACATCACCACGGACTAAACTCTCCCAGCGTTACCACAAGGACCAATTTGGTGTGCCACCCCAAAGATTTCTTTGGCCCCATCCAGCCACCCCATCAACATTTTCTGGAGGCGCCCCTGGACAAACCCTAGCTTGGTTTAGCCACGCACCATTGTAGCCTGAGCAGGCCTACCATCGGTCCAAACAATTGTAGGTTCGGCCAATCACAGCCTTCTATGTTAGAGACATTAGGTGGGGCTTAGCACCAGAGTTGTTACAGAAGAAAACTACAAAGATGGTGCTGTCTCAGCTCAGTGGCTAGTGGTGTGAGTGTCTGCCCTGGGACTGGGTAATCAGGGTTCAAACCCTGGTCGGGTCATATCAATAACTTTAAAAATGGGACCCAACGCCTACCTGCTTATGCTCAGCTTTAAGGGGTTGGATTGGGGATTCAAACCACCAAACAGTTCCTGAGCATGGCCGTGTCTGCAGCTCACAGCTCCCCACAGGGATTGGCCAATTGCACAAGACAAATTTCACCACACAACAGTGTGTGACAATTAATGGGACTTTAATCTTAATCTTTGGACTATTGGGCTTTTCTTTGAGAAATGTCATTTTTTAAAAGGATGCATTTGCTTTTTATGCTTCTTCTTCTTGTGTGGAAGACTGCTGCGTTGACTGAATTCCAGTTTTCAACCAGTTGTCACCTGTAGCACCATCCTGTTCCTTCGGTCTTCCGCTGCTGCGTCCATCGTCTTCAGATGAAGATGATGAGGTGGCTCATGAAGCTGCGTTTATAACACCAACACTTAAAAACCTCTTCATGGGTTCTGACTTGTTGAATGAGAAGAGGAGTCCAGATGAAAGACTGGTTTCAGTCTGGCTGACTTTGCTGCCTGCTTGTGATCAGTTGCATCACTGCTGTGGAACGAAGTCTGGTGACAGAGCTTTTATGGAGGACCAAGGTGATATTAAGTTTCAGAGACTTTGCCCTTGGCCCGATTAGTAATGAGACCCCAGCACCAACGCACACATGCACGCAGTCAATTTAATCATGTTGAGAAATGTTTTACATATTTTCTTGGATAAAATGTTTTTATGATACAGAGCCACGATTAGGTTACCTTTAATAACACCCCATTCCCTCCTGTCTCTGTTTGCGCCTGCGTGACCGCGTTTGCACCCCGACCCGCAAACTAATTGCAGCTTCTTCCTCTGATTGACAGCGAGGATTTCGTCTCTCCCCGAAGCGACGTCACACCAAAGTGGGTGAAGCCGAGCACCCCCGCGTCTATTCCAAAGAAAACATGACAGATTCTGCGTAAGAGAGACGCCTCTACCTGCAGCCGGTCGGCACCGCAACTTGTCGCACCAACTTCACCAGCGCCTCAGTTTCGAGCGCGTGCAGCGCGGCCAACATCTGAGGCATTTGTTTATTTTTTCTTATCTGAGAAAAGCATCGGCGCATGGCCTTCTTCATTTTCTGTCATGGGTTTAATGTTTTTTTGTGGGAAAACTGAAGAAAAGTGAGGATTTTCTGACACTCATCGCTTTTCTCCCTCGGAGCTTTTTTGCGCGCACTCTGACTCTCCTCAACTCGTCCCAAAAGCATGTAACCGCGCCGAGACAGACAGAGCACACCGATAATGAAGAGGTTAACCACACCTTTGAGAGCGGACATCTCTTCACGAGCCACTTGACGAACTTCGTTGCGCGTTAAGATGCGCCCGGCGCAAGCGGAGCTGGACTTCTGCGCTCTCTTTGACGGACACTTTCCGGTGAGGTTTGACTGAGTCGTGCCTTCACAAAACAAGGACTTCTTATGAATCTAAGAAATAATCGCTCTCGGTGTTGGCCCAGCTAATCACGTTAAACTCTGCCGGGGGATCTCCTTGCTGTCACCATCATGACGGTTCGTCTTTCGCGGATCCAGCTGGCCATATTCTTCATCTTGCTCTGTCCGGTCAACATCATCGGACTCTGGTGGTAAGTTACCACGTGTTTTACGCCTTCTTACCGCGTTAGTCAGGTGTTTATTTATATTCCACAACTTAGTTATGTGGGAATTAAGATCTGTGTGCGCTTATTTGGGGTCTTAATTTGGATTCATTAAGCAGCTTTTCACTTTTGAGCACTTTATTTAACATGCTTTCACTCAAGCCCTTTTATTGAATCCAAACATTTAGATTTCATGAGATTTACAATAAAAATGAAGGATAAGGATAATTTTGTTTCGTTAAACCTGGTTAAATGATGGATAAATGCACTCGCATACACGTTATTTGTATGTTCCCACGTGACTTTTTCTAAAGCATGCAGTTCTGAGTATTAAATTCTGACGTTTGATAACGAAAAACAAATCTCAAGAATGACTGAAACGAAGTATGAGTTCATCTTAATGAATGAATTATAAGTAAGTATGACAATGAACCCGAATAGAGGAAGATTAAGGAAAGTAAGAGGTTGAAAAGGTGTGTGTTTCAAGCTGCCTGCAGTGTGTGTGCGTGTGTGTGTGTGTGTGTGTGTGTGTGTGTGTGTGTGTGTGTGTGTGTGTGTGTGTGTGTGTGTGCAGGGGGTTCAGGGTGAGGAATGTCAGGTGGCCCTCTAGGCACAGTGGATATGTCATCATAAAACAATCCATACAGGCTCAGCTCTGCTAGGTGGTCGACAGTCGAACAGACAGACACACAGATGTGCTGATAACATATTTTCCATTCATGAGTTTCTGTCTGCTGGGATGTGTAGTGCTTTTGTTGTGTTATGTGTAGTATCTCATTAGAAAACATCAAATGTTCCAGTCCACATCTCTCTCACACACACACACACATGCACACACACTTGGGTAGAATCTGAAAGTGAAGCTTTGTGGTTTTGTTCTGTTGAGTCCTCCCACTCTTCAGGCACAGTCCAGGTCAGTGTGGGATGTTGTACCATAGAGGCTCTAGGGGTCCATGTCCTTGTTGACTGCAATGATTCACCTCAACGAGCCATTGTGTGTGTGTGTGTGTGTGTGTGTGTGTGTGTGTTTGTGTTTTGTGTGTTTTTGTCCTTTAAGATAATTGACAGAAAATGGCAATTGATGAGAAAAATAAGAAGTCCAGCCATACACTCCGCTGTAGACAGACGCTTGGCCCACAGAATGAGATCAACATTGAGATTGCAAATAAGAAATGCCATTTCCATAAAATAAAGACCGTTTGACCTGAAATTTCACATGAATCAACGCTTCGGGTAAAGTCAGCATCGTGTCAAACTCTCACGTGTGTTTGTGAAACTGTCAAAAACATTTAACCCATTGACCAGTTTTCTAGAACTTTCTTGTTTTTCCCCACACAGTTTTTTTTCTTGAAGTTCAACATTTTTTTTAAGTTTGTTTCTTAAAGATTAGTTAAGTTTACACATTAAGTGTTCTTTAATATAGATATTGAAATGACAATAGTTATCAGACATTCAAAGTCAACTTATGATGAAAACTAAGAACAGCCGATATTATCGGTATATTAAAATGAAATATCAGAAATGACCAGATTTCAGGTTTTACCCTTTTATCGGCACAACCTTTACATACCATGCACACACGATCCATCAAACTCTTCAGCGACCAGGGACGGCGTTAGGCCCGGCTACTTGGGCTGAAGCCCCGGATCTTTCATGATAAGCCCCGGATCTAAATCGCGGAAGTAACATGCAGTACCAAAGTCACACAGAGAGGGCGCAGCTGGCAGTAGTTTGTAAAGTCCCATTTAGTCGTCACACACACAGGTGTGTGGTGAAATTTATTCTCCGATTTTGACCCATCCCCTGAGTTGCAGACACGCCGCGCTCGGGAACTATTTGGTGGTTTAACCCCCCAATTCAACCCTGAGTGTCAAGCACACTGTCCCATTTTTCTCAAAATCTTTGGTATGACCCGACCAGGAGTCGAACCCCTGATCTCCCGATCTCAGGGCAGACACTCTACCACTAGGCTACTCAGTCAGTATACAGTTTACCTGAGACTGAAGAGAAGCGCTTCAGCAGCTGGCTTCTGCAGTCTCTGTCTGAAACGCATGAGTGAAGATGGATATAAGGACGTTTTTTTAGACCAAAAGTACAACGACAGAACCCCAGCTCTGATGAGACTGGTGTTGACTCAGGTTTGTGAGTCTTATTTGAAAATATTTGTTGTGCTGCTGGTTTGCCTAAAGTTAGCTTACTATCAGGTAAAGTTGTTGGAGAAAGAAAGGGAATATTCACTATCATCTCACACTAAACACTAACAGGAACAATACTCTGCCCTGAATATGCTGAATATGTAGCTTCAGATTAAACATTATGTGGTACAAGATATATATATATATATATGATGTTGACTAGTGCGTGTCACGTGTGTGCGCGCATGCGTGTGTGTGCGCGTGCGCGCGCGTGTGTGTGCGCGCGCGTGTGTGTTAAGCCCCGGATCTTCTTCAGTCCTAAATCCGCCCCTGTCAGCGACTTCTCCTCTCACTCAAAATGTCAAAATGTGACCGCTCCTAGGTACGTATATTTTGAGGTACATTTGCGTTTGTTTGGCACAACTGTTCTAACTTAAATTGAAGTAGTTTTTATCTTTTGCACAAATGGAGTTTAAAATGTGCAAGGTGGGGGACATGTGAGGTCAGTTACATAAAATTATGATGATTGTTTAGTTTTTTTATCAGGGGTATGCTGCATAAATCGGTCCTGGTTTATATCGGCGTCATAAATTAAAGAAACACTGCTCTTCCACATGGTTGGGTACAACTGTCATAAACGACCCTGCAGCAGTCTGCTGTAGCTAGCGCTAACAACGAGTTAACACTAACAAGAGCCAACTAATAAAATAAAAAAAAACACAGATAAATAGTACTTACAAGTCCAGTAACAAAGCCAGGTCAGCATCAGTTCATGATTTTGTAGCCTCCTTTAGCTCCCTCAGACTAGTGTAGGCCATGTTGATGTTCACTCTGGTTTTTGTGTTTTGTTTATCCTCCAAAGACATTACACTCTTACTTTTACTACCAGGCGCTACTATGATGCCAACAGAAAAAGCAAACTTCTTTTTCTTCTTCTTCTTGTGATTTTTTATTGATGATCGGCAAACTGAAAAAGCTAACTGCTAGCGGTTGTAAAGCAGGTAAAGAGCCCCTCTATAGAGCACCTACCACTCCACAAAACTGTGAGCTGTGCTTGAACCGTTTTGATCCAGTTGAGCTTTCAGAGTTATCAAAAATATTAGCTTCATCTAAACCTTCAACTTGCATTTTAGATCCAATCCCAACCAAATTATTTAAAGAAGCATTTCCTTTGGTTACTGCCCCCATTCTAGATATAATCAATCTATCCTTAGTAAATGGGTATGTACCACAGGATTTTAAGGTTGCTGTAATCAAACCTTCACTTAAGAAGCCTTCTCTGGATCCAGATGACCCAATGAATTATAGACCAATATCTAACCTTCCATTTTTATCCAAAGTCCTGGAGAAAATAGTGGCCATCCAAGTATGTGAGCATTTAAACACCAATGCTCTGAGGAATTTCAGTCTGGTTTTAGAGAGTATCACAGCACTGAAACTGCATTAGTGAGAGTTACAAATGATATTCTCATGGCCTCAGATAAGAATCTTGTGTCTGTTCTAGTCTTGTTAGATCTCAGTGCTGCCTTTGACACAGTTGATCACAAATGTTCTTTTAGAAGGGCTTGAACATGTTGTAGGGATCAAAGGAACAGCGTTAGGCTGGTTTAAATCCTACCTGTCTGACAGATTTCATTTTGTAAATGTACATGACAAATCTTCTTCATACTCCAGGGTTACTTGTGGAGTATCACAGGGTTCAGTGCTTGGACCAATTCTTTTTACTATATATATGCTCCCAATTGGTAAAATCATTAAACAGCATGGGATAAACTTCCACTGTTATGCTGACGATAATCATATTTATCCATTTACCCTGATGAACCTAATCGGTTAGGTAGATTACAGGCTTATCTTGAGGACATAAAAAATTGAATGACTAAACTTTTTGCTTTTAAATCAAGACAAGACGGAAGTTCTCATCTTTGGACCAGAAATCCAGAAAAGGAAATTGCTTAGCCAGTCGCCTGACCTGAATGGCATTACATTAATTTCCAAGAACAAAGTAAGGAACCTTGGTTATATCTTTGACCAGGACATGTCATTCAAATCCCAAGTTAAACAGGTTTGTAGGATTTCCTTTTTCCACCTTCGGAATATTGCTAAGATTAGAAGCATACTTTCCAGGAGTGATGCTGAAAAACTAGTTCATGCATTTATTACATCAAGACTGGATTACTGTAATTCATTACTCTCAGGAAGTCCACAGAATGTAGTTAAATGTCTTCAGCTTGTCCAAAATGCTGTAGCTAGAGTTCTGATGAGAATTAAAAAGAGAGATCATATCTCTCCTGTCTTAGCTTCCCTACATTGGCTACCTGTTAAATTCAGAATAGATTTTAAGATCCTTCTTCTCACATATAAAGCTCTTAATAATCAAGGTCCATCATACATCAGTGATCTGATTGTTCCATACGTTCCTAACGAGCACTTCACTCTCAGACTGCAGGTCTACTGGTGGTTCCCAGAATATCTAAAATTATGATGGGAGGCAGATCTTTTAGTTATCAGGCTCCTCTCCTGTGGAACCAGCTCCCAGCCTTAGTCCGTGAGACAGACACCTTCTCTACTTTTAAGACTAGGCTTAAAACATTTTTATTTGATAGGGCCTATGGTTAAAATCTGATGTTAGCCTAGATCTGGACAAGTGGGGGAGTAGAGGGAGGTGGAGTGTACAGTCGGTAAAGACGGCTCTCCCTTGCCCTGCCTCCAACATGCTTCCATCTAAAAAGGCTAGGATGTCCACAGTTATCTCTGTAGTTATGCTGCTATAGGCATAGACTGCTGGAGGATACACTGACCACTTTCCACACTCTACTACTTTCTTCTACAGTCTGCTCTTTAACTGTATTA